ATCTTTCATTCCTAATCGTGAAAATATTGAAATTCTTTAGAATTAAATTTCATTTTTTTACGTTACAAGATTTAAGAAAATTTTTACTTAAATAATAATTTTCGGCTAAATACATATTCAAATTTATATCTATTTATATCTATTTATTAAATATTTGTCTAAACGATACCGAAACAATTTCAATTATTAATTCGAAACGCACATCATCATAGTTATTCATAGATGAATTGAATTCTCGAATCGCTCGACAAATTAAAAAATTTAAAGAATTCAACCCTCCTATAATAAAAAATACGATTTATCTGAATGGCATTCCATGTGTACTGCATTCCTGAAACCATATGCAACTTCGTTTCGCATTGAATGCCTTTATTGAAATAAATGTATGTATATTTATACTTTCAATATGATGAAAATCGAAAGATCCACATATATATATATATAAATCAAACCGAAAAAAAATTCATTTATAATTTGAATAATGGATTGCAACTAATATAATTTCAAATTATTATAAAAACTCTTACGATTCGATTAGAATATTTACAATATTCACATAATCAATAGCAGTTGCAGATTCACACAAGTTATAGTACTTTCGAATCAAGAAATTTGTGACAAAAGTCGCGACATGAGAAACAGGTTCGTCAAGTTCCAGTAAATTCAAGAATTTTCAAGTAACAAATTTATATACGATGTTTTCAAGATTAAAAAGTAAATTATCTATTCAATAATAATTCACAATAGATACGATAAAATAAAATACACTAATTGTCAACTTAAAAATAGATCATTGCTGTTTAACAAATTAAAGTATACACATTTTATCTATTTCAAGTTAAGCAAAAAAACAAAATATTATTATTAATAGGAATAATAATAATTTTCATATTTAATTAAATTCTCTCACCTGCGGTGTTCGTAATGAAACATTGAACATATTTTGAATATTGTCATATATTTTAATACGTCTGAAAAGTCGGCAATCATAGCGAAAAAAACGATGCTGGTCGTCGTGTTTTCGACTTAGGAATCTATCACTCGCAACATTCACGACACACCTTGCGAGACACCCTGTACGTATATACGGCGGATTAGAAAGTCCTCGTAGAACTATCGACTCGTAAATGCTTCAATCGTTTCACAACAAAATACTCCAAGGCGTAAGCATCTACTATGCAGTCTTCATACTACATACGAGAATTCAAAACTAGTTACGATCTCGTAATGTAACAATGATCATTTTTCAATGGAAATTAAACTTGTTGAAAAAATTTTTCGATAAAAATATATCATTGATATTTGATTGCATATAAAAATATTGTGAAAACTTCAAGAAAAGTTTTCATTAATATCTTTATTGATCTTCAGGTTATTCATCCTAGATCATTAAAAAATAATTACTTTTTAAAATTTTTCTCTTTCTCAAGTATTCCTTAATGATATATATAATTAATAATGTAATTAATAATATAATTCTTTAATTAATACATAATTTTGCTAGAAAAATAACTTTTAAAGTGTAATTTAATTTGGATTATAAATGATCATAAGGATCAATTGATCTTGATTTTTATCGATCCAAAGATTAATTAATTTTAATTAGCTAAAATTTGTTCAATTTAAATTAAAATTAAGTTTTTTTATTTTCGCGATTAAAAACATACAAATTTTAAAATTAATATTGATTTTTGATTCAAATAGAAAAATTAAAAATTAAATATTTTCACAATATTTTAACTCTAGTCATCAATGTAATACATCTAAGCATTTCTTTAATGTTGAAGAATTAAAAGAATATTAAGATCAGTTAACTTTGGTAACGAACTTTCAATAAATTTTGATCAAGTTGAATGTATAAAAGGCGATTTTTTGCCTAGCTCATAAATCCATTTAAACAAGCCACAATGCGTTTTACTTTTACTGATCGTATGCTTATTCTGTAACTACTTTTACAAAGGTTTTCGCTTGAACAATGAGACACGAGGTTAAGATATTGACGTAAATACTGATTAACCAAAGTTGGTCAGACTTTATACGGACATAGGAAATAAAAGAAGGCAATGCATCGATTAAAAAAAAGATTCAATGATATGAGGAAATGCATGTATAATGTTTTTTTATGATAGTTAGGCATATTCATTCTAAATTAGAAATTTGGATAAAATACTAATTTATTAAATGTCATCAAAAATGATAATATAAAATACTATAATAACAAAAGATATAAATATAAAATAAATATAAGATAATATAAGTAAATATAAATAACCTGAATCAAATATGTTAAGATATATTTTATTGAGAAGTATTTTATGTGATACTTACGTATCATTACTTCAAAATTGATATATTTTTTTTAACTGACAACAAATAAAATTTATTATATCTAAAATCTATTATAATTCAATATTTATAATTTATCTTTTAATTTATGAATATATATGTTTATGAATGTGCTAATATAAAAATTCAAAATTCAAAATTAAATTCAAATTACAATCAATAAAAATGACAAATCATAAACTATAATTAGACAGAAGTAAAAATATAGTATCGATCAATTATCGCTAAATTGAATGATATTTAACTCATACCTTTTTATTGTTTATTCCTTGTATTCTTTTTCTTTTTGTCTTAACTTAATCAATTAAAGGTAAAGACAAAATATCAGCTGACTTTTGATTCGTTAGAATTTCGATGTTCTGAATAAAATCATAATTTCAAAGATAATTCAACGCAGCTGTATCTAACAGAAACATAACTCGTAACACTGAATTTGCATTCTTTTGTTCTGTGTCACTGTTCGAAACAATTAGATATTATATTAGGAATCATGGCAGGTAAATGTTTTTCTTCTCGATATAATGATTTGTCATAACTCATTTAGTTCAACATTACATTAATAAAGAATAAAATGACGATAATTCCATAAATTAGAGCAATAATTTTATAAAGATATTGCATGGACACTCGTACTTTTATACTATTTGAAAAATTTTAAAAAATATAAAAACTTATACAATATATTTTTCCGTTCATAATTTATGTAACCACAAGATCCTTTCTACAAAATAAATATAACATCTTGATGTTTCAGAGAGATTATATATATCAAAATTGTTACATATATAAAAAAATAAATTGTTTTTCAATATATGTATACGAAATCGCGTATAAAATATCAATGTTGATCATGTTTTTTAACAATTTATCTTCTACATTTTATCTTCTACATTTTCTTGTTTCTTCAATTAATCAAATTTTTAATTAACTTTCAATTAAAAACTTATATATAGATTCTATCATCTTTTATTTTGATTTTTTACAGTATACATTTGATAATGAGTATGAAATGAGTAAACTTATTTTACTTATTATTATAAATCATTGTTATTTCCATATGACATTCAATCCTTTTTTTTGTAATATTTATTTTTTCTTTCATAAACTTAACTTATATTTATGTTATATTATATTATATAAAATATATATATATATATATACTTTGAAAAATAAAATAATTATTTTTTCTTAATGTTATACATAATTTGACTAATAGATATTTTATTGAAGATTTTTTTATTTGCGATTGTATAATATACTTTTTTATGATTTTTATATATAATAATATCCATATAGATTTTTCAGAATTATATATTATTCAGAATTTTACATTAATCTCACTTTTATTTATCTTCATTAATAAAATTTTTATCATTGCTGAAATCGTTTGCTTAATTATTATCCTTAAATTTAATATTTATAACTTTATAATATATTTATAATATCTATATTACATTACATTTTTCTATCTTATGCTCTATGTATAATAAAATTATATCGATTTAAATTTGTAAAAATTTTTTTTATTTACCTTCATTATTTTGCATAGAAGAAGTATTTAAAGTTTAATTTTCTTTAATTTCATTTCTATTTCTTCGATTTTTCTTATTTTCATTTATTTTTAATTTGTTGCATAGTTTGGCTTGAATGAATCGTAAAAAAATATGTCAACGAATTAATTTAAAAAGCATAAATATCCGAATTTTGTCACTTCTATATCATTTATTTCACAATTATTATCAAACTTTACTATTTATTATATACTAATATTATTATATATAACTATATTATATAATAACTAATAACAAATTCACAATCTTCTAAATCACTTACAATATCATCTAACCTAACTTGTACGATATACGATCTGAACCAAGATGTCGCCATTGTATTCCAAACATCATCGAAAACGCGGCATGAAATACAATTTCAAATTCATTTCACTGTTCTTGAGAAATGTTTTTTATGTTTCGTTCAATATGTATTCACATTGTTCGACATGATAACTCACTATCAGATCATAGCAAAATAATTAATTGTAAAGTTTAAATGAAAACTCCATATTTATTTAGCAGAATATCTATTCATTTTGAATTACCATTCGTTTAAATTCGATCCAATATAATAAGGATCGAATAATTTTAATTATATAAATTATAATAGAAAAATATAGATCGCGGATCTACTGAATTACAAGAAGTCAATTTTACACACACATCAACATGATCGACCGGGACTTTTAAATTCACTTTTACGAGCGTGTCACGCAGCGTATAAGTATATACTGGTGACAATTTCACGTTACACTTTCTGCCTTTGGCAGACCACTATTTTCGTTCGTATCCGATTTCTCGCATCAGCTTTTTCCACAGTTGCATTGGTGTCGCGCGCGAACTCAAGCAGAATACCGATATCCGATAACTTAAAATAAATGAGGTCGCCAGTGATAAATATTAAATAACTGTACATGTGCATGGCTTGAGCGCGTATACTTCCTTGTGATACGTTTCCTAACTAATCAAGAAATGGACAACGAGAAAATGATTGATTCAATCGCTTGAGAAAAAATCAATTGATTTAATACTAATTAAGGAACTTTTCAAAATCTATCAAAATCAATAAAGAAAATGTATGAAAGAAAAATGTTTGCTTACGTGTTAAGGATACTCAATTATTCGTTCGTCCAACGATGAGATTTTCTTCCTTTCTTCTTCTCAAGTTTCTTCCGATTTCTTCGCCGCTCCAGCGCTCTGCCTTCTTTTCTCGTTTTTCTAATCGACTGCACGCAATCAAATGTAACCGTGGAAAAGTGAATAAAAAAAAATAACAATTCTAGTAAAAGCGAATTATTGACAACCACGGAACAAAAACACTCTTTTCCTTCTGTGTTTCCTTCCGTAAAATGTTCGTATTATCAAATTTGTCTTTTTTATTTTTTCTTTTTCTTCAAATCGAATTTCACCGCACGACGATCACACGAGTCCGTGAAAAACGAACATATAAAGAATAAGATGGATTCAGAGACAAGAATACAGCGAGCAACGGCGAAACAAGCAAATTTCGTAAACGTGGAAAAAACTTAAATAAAACTCGGAAAGTAGCTACATCCGAACAGTTCGAGGGTTCGGAGACAACTGAGCCTACCGACGGACTTTGGAATCGGTGAGCGGTGTGTCGGTTCGCCGGACTCGCGAAGACTTCTCGAGTTCGAGACTCTGAGAGTCGTGCTCGTTGTTTTCTTTTATCTTTCTCTTTTTTTCTATTTCTGTCTTTCTCTCTTTCTGGATACACGATAAACTAAGTGCACGCGGTACACGCGCGTTCTACCTTCGCGACGAGTTCGCTTCTGTTCCTCCTGTTTCTCTTTCTGCTCTTTTTGTTCCATCGGACCATGGCTTTTCTGTATTACCAGCCGCGCCTCGCCGCGCGCGGAGCCACTACAAAACGCAAGCGCACAACCAACCATGCACGCACGTGCGTGTCTCGCGACTATGCTCGTGTGCAACTTGATCATAATGGTACGATGAAAATCGTTTTGTTTGCTTGCTGTCTGCTGTTTTCGCTTGTTTGTCTGGAACAAATTCAATATTGATTCTTTTTTTTTAATATTTTTTTTCTTTTCCTTTTTCTTTTTCTTTTTCTGATGAATTATAAAATTCTTGTGAAGAAGAAGTTGACAAGCATGCAAGAAGTGTATAAGAACTATATTGAAATATAGTTTTTAACGATGATATGATGATTCGAGATTTGACTCAATGATTAAATGGTTGAGTTATATGAAGAATTACTCAAGCAGTTTCATTTATTGGACTTAAATAATATGTAAGTACATGTAAACAATTGGCAAAAGTAATCGAAACGTAACCGAATTGTGATATACATAATATGTTGAACATTCAATTTGTGTGAACTGTTTATAATATTTATAATTTATAATTTATATCTTAATAAAATCCATTTTTAGAAAATTTAAAATTTTATTTTGTTATTTTCTATTATTTTTAATAATTATAGTAAAATTTTATTTTATTGTAAAATTAATTAATTTCAATATCTACTTAATTAAGATAAATAGTGAAATTTACTGTTACTTGTTTATAGAATTCTGAATCATCGATCGATAAGAAATAGTATTGTATGTTATAATAAACTTAATAAATATATTCAAATTATTATAGTATTAATAATTATAGACAATAGTTACAAGAAATGCATATTAAATATAATTCTTTTATCATTGTTGAATTAGTATATATAATAAAAATGACCAATATATATAATAAAAATGTGAATTTTGTTTAGATCTCAAGTGATTATAAGAAGTTTTCAATTGTTTCCAATTCCAACGAATCATTTGAGAAATTTTATTACTTTTAATTTAGAAGATTCTATTCTATGGGATAATTTTTTTAAGAAATGATTTTCTATTTTTCTTCAAAAAATTTTTTTCAAAATATTCATGTTGGCATTATTTTTCAAAAGATCTGGAAAATCGATTACAAATGATAATAGATATATATATATTTTTTAAATTATCCAAGTATATATATAATAAAACCTGAAGATCGTACGTAAGGTCATATCCTTGATATATCCCTGAGGGATTCTCGGATCACTAGTGATTTTCCATTACACAATCAATAAGAGAATTTATCGACATTGGTTTTTAGTATGATCTGTTTATAAAGACTCTAGAAATACTTTAAAAATGATTGTATTTTTGTGAATCATTCTATTTTATTATAATAAAAAAAACGAATAATATTCGTTGATTTAAATGATAATGAAATATATCAAGAAAATCAATTGAATCAATAGAATCAATAGAATCAAAAAAAACGATGTTGTAAAATTTGAATTATTATTCGATACATCAGTGTAATATTTTCTCGTGTGGAATAGAAATTTGTCTGAAATTTTCATCAAGTAGGCCATGGCTTTGTGGCCCGATCCGTAGATTATGACATCAATACATTTTACGTAATCCGGTGGACAGCAAATACCTAAGTTGGGTTAATATTCAAGATGCACTATCGAATCGATTGGCTGACCAGATTATTTACCAAATCATTTATATGTTCCAAATATTGGGATAAATAGATTGAAAGTTGCTATTATTTGAATAACAATGCATATTCTGAAATCTTTTGGAACATAATTATAATCATCCAATTTTCGTGTCTTTTATTATTTAGAAAGATTTATTTAGCGATGATTTAAATACATGTCAATATAATTATAATATAGTTTAAATGCAGTTATATTTTTGTTAAATTGAAATACTTAAGATATTTTTTTCATAATTATAATTTTTAATTTATGTCATGGTTGTATATTTTATGTACTTTTCTAAATATATAATAATAGTAAATATTATTTAAATCTATCATATTATTAATAGTATAAAGATTCTTTCAACATCTTAAGCACTTTTTTATAAACTAGTTTAGGAGCGTCCATAGCCCATAGAAAATCTATATGATTGAATTTCGCATATGGCACTTTATAGATAATTGGTTTCTTTGATAATTCATTGGTTAACTTTATAACATCCTAAACAAAAAAATAGAATACAATATAAATAAAAAATAATTAAACTATGCAAATATCTATATTCATTAAAAAATTTCGAAATACATAAATACCTGAGGACTAGATAACCAATCATTATTACCGTAAAACAATACGATTGGTATTGTTATCTTTGATAAATTATATCTAGGTGGTTCAGGACTATTATAAATCAATAAATTTTTTTCTATACCATAATTATATTGTTGGAAATTTCCAGATTTTATTCTTGAACAAAATGAACCATGGTCTTAGAAGACGTGCCAGCTGGTTGATAATTCAAAATTTTAGGTACCAGCGTCTACAATAGTTTGTATAAATATATTAAAATCTAATATAGATTTTTACATAAGTTGTTGTACTCACGTAATTAAATTGATTTTCATCAAACCCAACAAGAATAAACAATATATTACTACATATCTTTTCTTCCCGAAAATTCATATCACACAAATATTTTGCTAAGAATCTTGTAATAAAACTATTTGGTAAAAATGCTCCATCTCCAAATAGATACAATATTTTCTGGAAATTAACACGAAAATATTTCATTACTTTTAATTATATAAAAATGAGAATTTAGATGTTGAATCAAAAAATTGTTGTAATCGCTTATTAATTATTTTTTTACCTTAAAATCAGATGCAAACGGAGCTAAATATCGTAAAGGAGTTCGTATATGTTTTAAAAATGCTACTGGAGCAAGACTATACATTGATTGTATTAATTTTGTTATTTGTGGTCGTTCACTAGCCATCACATAGAAACATGTCGTACCCATTGAAAATCCAATGTATGCTCTTAAAAAACTTTCTTTCAATTTTACAATGTAAGTGATCATTGCCGGTAGATCATAAATACCTGATTCATGCCAACTAAATATGTTATCACAAAAGTAATATTAGAAATTTTAAAATTCTCGTTAATTATTTGTTTTATATATAAAATATGATTTTTTTGCATAAAAATAAAACTATTATTCTATACATATTTCTAAAAAAATTTTTTAAACTTTTAATTACTTTTAATTATTTACAATATATTGTTATTTTCAATTATTATTAATTTTTATTATTTATAAATACCTGAAATCCCAAAACGTTAAATTTTTTGGTGATAAGGAAATATGCGCTTTTGAATAAGTATTGCCACGAAAATTTCCAAGCCATACATCGTAACCATTATCAGCTAATAAATAAGCTATAATCGTAAATAAAAATTAAAATATAAAATAATAATTGGTTAAAATTTATAAGTATAAAATTTAAAATTTATAAGTAATTTATAAGTATAAAAAAAACAATAAGTATATATAAAAAACACAAAAAGATTTAATTTTAAATTTTTGAAATAATTTTAAATTTAAATTTAATTTTAGAATAGATATTGTTTTACTAAATAATACGCATGTTGTACCAAGAGAATTTTTTTTTGCCAAGTATAATCCAATCCATAGAGCAACCCAACACGCCGTGTTGTAAAAAAAATTGTAGGAGATCCAGGTTTACCTACAATTCGGTGCATTGTCAAGATATAACCATCTTCTGTTAAAACTACATGTGCTTCAGCTGGATAACCCTCTTTTCTTATCATTTGTAACTACAATAAAAAAAATTAAATTATTAACAATTAATGCCATTTATTAAAAAAAAAATCAGAAAAACAAAATACAGATATAATATAATTTTATGTATCAAATTTTATCATTAATTAAACTATTTAATATATATTAAAAAAATTTTATTATTAATAAAACTATTTAATTATATATTAATAAAACTATAGAAGATTTACTATAATTATATAAGATAATTTGAATTTTATAGATATTATAATTTTACTATAATAGATACATAAAAAATTACTATAACAGATTTGAATAATAAAATTGAAATTAAATGACAACAATTACAATAAACAAAAAACAATAAAAAGTTTTTATAAAAAAACTATATTTTATTTAATTAATAATATTTTATATTATATAATATATATTTTTGTATATTAGAATTATACATATTACATATTATTGTAAAATTTTGTTAAGATTATATCCAATTTTTCCATACATTAAAAATATTAATGTGATAAATATATTTCAAATATTTAATTAACATGAATAAACATGTAAATTCACCTAGTAATTTAAAAACATAACATGTTTAGCAATTTACAAATATTAAAGAAATTAAAATATATAATAGAACAGAAATTATTACATGTAAATCACTTTGCAGACAACTAATTTTCAATGATAATAATTAAAAAAAATTTAGTTATCTTTTAAAAGATGAAAAAATAAAAAATAAACATGTTTTCCGATAAATAATTTTATTTTCTTTCTTAAATATTCTATTTTCACACATAAAAATGAATTAAAAAATAATTATAATAAAAATTAAAAAATAATTAAAATAAACATTGTATATATAATAATCAAAACTATTATATGCATATTAAATGATAGATAAACTTTGTATTTTATTTTTCAATGTTTGATTTTATATTATATTTGATGTCTTACAAATAGAAATATAATTCTACTTACAATGTCAAGGTTTTCATTCGAATCTTCATTTTCACTTTTTTTATAATGATTGAATAATTTAAAGTTAAAGCTGAATGAAATCACGGAATGAAAAATAAGTAGCGATAAAAATATCACAATTTGTCTCTTCATTCTAAAAAATTAAACAAACAACAAAATATTAAAAATATTATAAAATATAAGAAAAAGTTTTATATACTTTATTAGAAAAATTTAATAGTAAAAATATATTGATATTTATTTAAGTTCTTAAATATACGGATAAGTACGTTCCTGTTTCCTGAACGTTTCCTGTTCAACTTCTGTCACTATGAATAAGTTTTGAACATTGTACAATAGTCATAATTAAAACTGTGAAGATTCACACATTCCATTTTAATATTAAAAAATTCAATATATGTTTACGTTTAATTATAATTTTATTCTTTACAACTTGAGTATTTTAATGTATAAATTTAATACTTGTATGTTTATTATAAAATTTGAAAATTTAAATGAAATATAGCCCATATTGTACATATATGTACTATATATATTTTTTTTATCTTATAGAAGGAAAGGAAAATTACGATTATTAAAATTGTCATAATATATACGTGTCACATACCATACACACATACGCATATATCTTTATTCATTATTGTTAATTTTTATATATTTCTATCACTTAAAATTTTTGAATTATATAATTTTTAACAATACATATATTTTTAAAAAATTGTATGTTTAAATATAGTTTTTAATGTAAAAGAAAGCAAAAATTAAATCATTATATTATTTTACACTATTCTATTTTCGAGCGAAGTTTAAAAATACAATTCTCTTATTTTAATGATAGATGTATATAAAATATAAAATATCAGGTATTATATTATTATTCTTATTACTTATTATTTACAAATTATGAAAACATTTATTTTATGTAAATAAATATATGCATTTTAGATATATATCATAATTATTTTTATATTTAAGGTTATATTTTTGTAATATCAGTAATGATTACCTAAATATCTTTTACTTCTTTATAAATCGATATATTAATGTAACAAGAACAAAACAAATAATAATGATAATAAAATATAATAAAATCAAATTAAATATTTCAATATATACATTATCTATTAATAACCTAAAAATAAATATATTCTAGAATTATATTTTATATATACGTACTATATTTATCTACTTTCATCGGTATAGGACATTATTATTGAAGTAATTTTTTTAACAGATTTTATAAACATCATTTGATATCTTAATAAATTAAATATTCTTCTTAAAAAAACCATATAAAAATAAATGTTTAATAAAAAAAATATGTAAAAAATAGGTATGCAATTAAAAATATAAGTGAATATTAATATATAAATATAATTGAATACTTGTAACGTATATATTTCAAACGTTTTGTTAACGATAATAAATTATATTATCATAAATTTTTTTTAACTCTTTTTAATAAAAAAAAACATCTAACAAGAACTATTATTTATCAATTGTATTAAAAGTGTATTTTATGTTTGAATCAATATTAAATAAAAACCGGCTAACCTTAATAAACTATAAATATGTGTCATTCCTTAATATATCATTTTAGAATATTTCTCATCTGTATTTCAGCTTATAATAATGAATGAAACAATATTACCACCTTCGCCAAACTGGTATTTAAGTAATATTTTTACTTGTTCTTTCAATGGCACTGTAGCATGGGGTGCTAGAAATATGATTGTTATTGCTAAAATTAGTGAAAATAATAAAACATTACAATATTCTATTATTAAGAATGCTCATAAATCTAAAGTGACATGTCTTGCATTTACTCCTCAATTTGAAGAAGTAAATGCTAATTTAATAGCTTCTACTGGAGATGATAATGCAATTAAAATATGGAATTTAGAAACATTATCTGTAGCTTATCTTTTAGACATTGTAAGTTCTTATATTAATATGTAAATTAATAATAATATTATATTTAAATTTTTTTTAATTTTAGGATAAACAAAGTGTACCAGTAGGTGTAGATTGGTCTTATAAAAATCCTTATATTATATATGCAGCAACTTCTGATGGTCATGTATTATCGTGGAATATTTATTTTGATATTGTTTCTTCAATTTCACTAGGAAAAATGATATGTACTTGTATTTCTTCTTGTCCTCATGATCCACATCTTGTAGCTATTGGCTCAAAATGTGGTTTAGTTTATATCTTTAATTTTCAAGGTAAAGGAAAAATAGATTACAAACTTAGAGGACATGATACTGAAATAGTTAGTTTATCATGGTGTCCCATAGAGACTAATATTTTAAGTGGAAATCCAAACAAAGATTTACTATTAGCTTCAGGAGGAAAAGACAGGTAATTTAAAAAATTTTATAAAATATTTGCAATCACAATTTTAATATATAAACTTTAAATTACAGATCAATTTTCATTTGGAAAGCTGGTGGAGATGGTCGTTATGAAACAACAATTTCATTACCTACAGGTCCTCTTGATTCTCATCAGCATAGAACCAAATTAAATGCTTCTATAGGTAATTGGGTTGTAGTTCGTTGGATAGAACCTAAGCTATTACTTACAAGTTCATTATGGGGTGAATTAATTTCTTGGGATTTATCAACAATGATAAAAGGCAAACCTAATGTCAAAGTAATACATGCATATCATGTTAGGGGCTTATTTTGTATTGCACATATACCAAATATCCAAAACAATTCAATAGAAAATTGGAGAGTAAAACAGAGGTTTTTATTAACAAATTTATGATAATATATTAGAATAATTATTATGAAATAACCATAAGTTTAAATATTTTGAATAAATTATAGACATACAATTTGGACTTTAGCACAAGATCGAAGAATTATTTGTTGTGGAATAAAAGATAATAATGTTGAAGTGGATTATGATATTTTTACACAATCTGGATATGTTTATTGCATTGCTGCTTGTCCATTAGATACTTCACATGTTGCATTTGGAGTTGGAGATGCAATGTTACGATTATGGAATTTATCAGAAGCACATGATACTTCCTTTAATATAACTTTTTTATGGCAAAAAATTAAAGGAAAAATTCGCGCAGTAAGATCTATATTATATTTTAATATTAAGATATATTGGAAATAAAATATTTCTAAATAATATTTCTTTGAAAAATTAAAATTGATTGTTTAATAATTATTATATTATACATTAATTACATTACATAGATATCATGGCATCCTGAAAAAGAAAATTTATTAGCATATGCAACTGAAGAAGGCCGAGTTGGTGTATTTAATATAAATAATAATAAATTACCCACATTGTACAGACAGTACCATAGAAATACTATATATACTCTTAGTTGGGGGCCAAATCCAGAAAATAAACAATATGTTTTATATTCTTGTGGAGAAGGAGAACTTGTGTATTATGATCCAGAAAAACCAAATCAAGGTAGTATTTTATATTTTCAAATTAATTTAATGATTGTAATATTATTATCATAGTGAATATAAAATTATAATTTTTTTAATTAGAACCTAAATCTGTACTGAAAAAAGAGTGTACAGAATTTTCTTGGAAGCCAGATTTTTCTTGTTTAGCAGTAGGATTTGAAAATGGGTATGTTTTTATATATATAATATATGATATGTGAAATTTATAAAAATAAAAATTCTTTTATTTTCAGAACAATTTCATTTTTTAATAAAGAATTTGAAATATGTGGATGTGCTAAATTTGCTTCAAAAATGGTACATTGTTTAGTTTGGCATCCCGAAAGTACAGCAACAGATTCAACATTTTCTCCATTAAAAAATTATTTGGCTGTTGCTTTTGAATCATGTACTATACTTATTTTCGATTTATCTAATTTTATAGATCATTTTACAAAATTGAAAAATTCTATTAATAATGATAATTTAGAAAAAGAAAAGTGCGATATTTACAAAGTGAATGAAATTGTAGCTACTTTAAATGGACATAGTAAAAATGTTGTTTGTTTAGCATGGAGTCCATACATAAGTGGACATTTAATATCTGGTAGTTATGATGGAACTGCACAGGTATAATTTTCTTAATTTCATTTAAATAAAAAGAAAAATAAAATAATAAATAATAAATATCTATCATGAAAATAAATATTTATATTATATATATATATATATATCACTGTTTTTTTAGGTATGGAATATTGAAACACAAGAATTAATAGCTACTTATATGGAACATTGTGGTCCTGTATTGTGTTGTATGTGGAGTCCATTAGATCCTGATTTTATTATAACTGGCTCTGCAGATTTCACAGTACGGATATGGAAAGTTGCTTATAATTTACCACAAAAAAAATTATCTAAAAAAATATTAAATAAAACTAAAGAAAAAGAAAATAAAACAAATAAAAATATTTCCATTGAAAATAATTTATTAGAAGTAACTAAGGCTACATCAGAATGTTCTATTTCAGATGTTTCCCAAACTGTTCAAAGTATAAAAATAATTTTAATAAAAATAATAAAAATTATATTATTACAATATAAATAATGAATAATCAATAATTTCAGAGTCAGAAATAAAAATAAAAACAGAGACAAAAAATAAAAAATTTGAGCGATCATATTTTTCAAAGTGCACTAATACAACAAATGAAAAAACATTTTTACTTAACTCTCTTTTAAATATTGTAAGAAAAATAAAAAATAACAGTTTGGATATCGAAGAAATTCAAAAAGATACTTCATATAATATGATACCAGTATTATTTTCTACACAAAAAAATTTTATGTCGCATATAAATAATGAAAGTAAGTTATTCATTATTAAAATAAAAAAATGTTAAATAAATGTTATAATAATATTATAACATATTTCTTTTGTTTTCAATCATTATTTAGGATTTGTTCATATTGAAAAAAATAAACACAATTTAGTCACAGAAATGGATGTTTGGTGTAATAATCTTAAACAAAATTTAGATGAAGCTGCTAAAGAAAAACGTCTTAATGATTTTCTCGTTTCACTTTCAGCTAGTTTATCTATGAAGTATGTAATTTTATCTGTTCATTTTATAAAATTTGATTTTAGAATTATCAAAAAGTAACTAATAGTAATACATATTACAGAACATGGAAAGATATGTGTGAATTATATGCTTATCAATTAATAACTGAAGGCAATCCTTGTAAAGCAGTATCTTATTTACTTTGTATACATAAAACTTATAAAGCCATAGAAGTGTTTCAAGATGCAAATTTATATAAAGAAGCATATATTCTTGCAAGATGTAAACTTGAATGTGATGATCCAGTACTGACAGAAATTTTAAAAAATTGGGCAAAATATAGTGTACATACAGGAAATTTTGAACAAGCAGCATACATGTAAGTTATAAGTTATAAGTTATAAGTTATAAGATAATCATGAATAAGTAAAATATTATAATTTTATTTTCAGTTATGCTAAATTAGGAGAATTTTCTGATATAATAAAATATCTTGGACGCCGTAAAGATGCAAGTACTTTAATAACAGCAGCTGAAATTGCTCTCTTATGCAATGATGATGCCTTAAGTAAATCTTTAATTGACCAAGCAATAATTGCAACTTTCACAAATTCAGAATATGACTTAACACGAAATATAATAACAAAATTTCCATATCTTAAGGTATATTTATATATAAACACATAACATATGTGTTTTATATGTTACTATTTTTTTAAAAAATAATAAAAATATTACTTTTAGTACCAAGAAATACATTTGTTGATTTTGGAAGAACTTGACAAAATAATTAAAAAAAATGTAAGCTTTAATATGATTCAAACGTGGATAGACGGAAAATCAGATTATGGTTTATTGCAAGCTTTAAAAACAGTTTGTGGAGATTGTAATTCTTATTATACTGATTTATTTAAAAATAGCTTTTGTACTACTTTAGATAATGAGAGAATGGTAAGATTGATTCAAATTTTAATTAATTTCTTAAAAATACTAAAAATTAATCATTATATTTAATAATTTGCAATTTCAGTTATGGTTAGTAGTTGGTCATAACATTGCATTAGCAATAGCCTCAGTTGAAAAAGAACAAAAATTGAAACATATTGTTACTACATTACATACCATTACTCAATTTGAAATATTACATAGAAAAAATTTTGAAAATCAACATAATTTACTAATTGAAATTATAATAAAATTAGATATTAAAGGATTAATGGATAAAACAAGTATTTATACAAAAACTGATTATTCCGTATCAATAAGTTTACGAGCTTATTTATGCTATGCCCTTTTAAATTGGTTTACATGCAATATAGATAAAGAATCTATTAGTAATAATATAAAATTCTATATCAATTTGATTGAAAACTTGTTAGAGGATGCAATAAATAAACAAGCAGTAAAACATTGGTCAGTAACAAATGAAATTAATAAATTGGAAACTCAAATAGTTTCTGTAAAATGTAAGTTACAAAAATATTATTTATTTTATTTAGTAATAAAAAATAGAAAAAATAAATATTTAACATTTTTTAGGTAAAACGCAAGAAGAAAGTAAAACTGATCAAGATATAGAATCTCTCATGATTGAATTAAATGAATTAAAAATACAAAAAAAACAAATACTCAATGATTTGGTTCATGTTCCAAATCCTGTTATGGTATATAGCATAGCAAATAACTTATGCAGCAAGTTGCTGGATGAAGATATCAAAAATAAATTTTCAGAAAATATCTCCAAAATGTGGTTAAATGCTATTACATAAATAAATAAATAATGTATTTTTTTTTATATTGTCTTTTGCTAAATATTAATGATAATTAAGAATTTTAATTTATATGATAAATATATTTTTATTATTTGATTAAATTTCAATTTTTTTTATACTAAGTAAATATAATAATTACTATTTTTATATTAAATAACTAAAGGTAAATATAATATTTATGAAAATTAATTATAATTATACAAATCTTTTTATTTTTATTTTTTTTTTATTTAATTTGATATTATTTTCCAAAAACGAATTTCTCTATCACTTGTTGCACAAACATATGGTAATTTATAATGACAAGTTATTCCACCTATTAATTTAACTTGACCACAAATTATTTCTTGTTCAGTTCTTATATTTGTAACTTTCAATAAATTATCTGGTCTACCTATACTTGCTACAAAATTTTCATAAGCAGGGAAAAATTTTACTATTAAACCTCCTTCAATGTGAAGTGGTTTTGATTCTAATGGTGGACTGAAAAAAAAATTACTATTAAATATATAATTATTTGTTAACTCATTAGTTAACTTTAAGCAAATTTTTTATTGTATTACCTAGGTTTGGATATATCCCACAAAATTAGTTTTCCAGCTGCTATGGCTGCAACTTTTAATGGATTGGATCCCCAGTCAATAGACATTAAGGGAACTATATCTGTATCCAAAGACATAATTGCTTGCTGACTTCGTACATCATACATGTGAATCAATCCATTTTTTTCACCAACAAGAAGTTTGCCAGATTTTTCAAAATGAAAATGTACACTCATTCCAGGAGATGTTAAGTAAAATGTAGATATACATTTTTCATTTTCTTTTACTGCCCAGAGTTTACATGTGTGATCATCAGATACAGAAGCCAATATTTCACCTTCAGTTTCATAACAAATTGAATTTATGTAATCCTTGTGTCCTTCCATCTTATTTAAAAAAAATATAAATATATTTTTTATAAAAATAAAAAATTCTCTTTTTAATCTTTACCTCATATACAGTATTATCATTCATATCACTACTATATAATCTTATTTTGAAATCTGCTCCAGCAACACAAAATATTAAAACTCTTGGTACAACGCTCAAAGAGGTTTCTGGACTCCAAGCAATAGCATGTGGTCTAGTATCATGACGAAATGTTCTAATAGGTTTGTAAGCAATATCTTCTACTGCTTCATCTTCATCCTTATAAAATAATAATTATTTATTTGAAAATAATTTTTTTTAATTTTTTATATAAATATATTACATAAAACATTATTAATTAATATTTATATAAAATTAAAATATTTATAAAAAAATTATGAATTTTTTTTTAAAATTATAAATTATATTCAACTTTCATATAAAGTTGTATATTTTCAAATATAATTTATAAATTATATTTTTTAAATTCTTATACTATTTATAAAAGATAGTATAAAATAACAATTATTAAATACATTATATGAGAAGTTTGTAATTTTAAAATTCAATATTCATATGTTATAAAATTTTGGAATTTAATAGTACCTGGAATTTAATAGTACCGATAACAATTTCTTCAGCTAATGCAATACAAATTAAATGTTGAGACCATTCATAAGGAGATAATTCAACACAATATATTTGTTTAGAAAAATGTAATTGAAATGTAGGTGGTGTAGTTAAAGCTTCGTCCATTGTGTATTTGTATTATCGCTTTTAATATGTAGGGTGAATTCGTGTTACGATCAACAAAAGATCACCGGCATAACCTTTAAAATTTTCTACATTATATTATTTAGCGAATTATACTAATAATAATCTCTGCAGATATATATGATAGGTAAATATTATAAATTTCTTACTTCGTTTATTAATTTTTTTTTAAGGTAATTATAATAAATAATATTACTTTCTAATTGTATTTATAATTTATATAAACATAAAAAACTTGCACGCGTTGTAAAGTCAGGTTAGGTTAAATTTAAACAGTCTAGATGGCAGTACGTATTTTGCGTATGCTATATGTAATCGTTCAACGTGCCGCATATCCCTTAGAAGCGAACTTCTTTGACTAAATATAAGATCGCCGCCGCGAGTTTTTGATTCCATAAGTGATCATCAGATATGAATTGACAAACCATAGTGATAAAATTCTTTCTAAACGTGTATCTTCGATCCGTCTCGATCTACGATCGCGTTACGAGGTAAGTGCTTCTGTCAAGGCATGCTTACCAGGGCATGTTACGCATACTTTACAAGCTGCTTCACCTCATGTTTTTCTTGCATTGCAATTACGCGATTTTACATTATCTAATTTATTTTCAAATATTTAAGAATTTTTGAAAATTTTCATAGTATGTTCTGAGTTTTGATATCTTTATGAATTATGTTTAATTTTGTTTGCTATGTTCATGAATTTTGAATTTTGAAAGAGTGTCATTTTATGAAATTTAAATATTTTTTCATAATTTTATTTTTTCAAAATTTTAATCATTTGGAAAAAATTTACGTAATTTATAAATATTAAATATTTGCTGAAATTGAATTTGATGTATGTATCATATTTATAAAAGTGCTTTAAATAATGAAAAAAAATATTAATAATTTTTATCATTTAAGGTAGAAATAGATTAATATGTATATTTCAGAATTAATAATTTTTTTATATATAAATTTGTATTAATTGTATTAAATTTATAACTATTATAATATTTATAACTATCATGTATATGAGTAAATCAATTACAAAAATTATAAGAAATGTAAATTAGATATTTAAAGAATTCTTATAAAATCGTTTTTTATATATTTATATAATAATTATAAATTATATTTTATTTTATATAAGAATATTATAAAGAGATATAAAAACTTAATACATTAATAAATAATATTGTTTCTGTATAATTAATATTGTTTCTTTTTGATTTATCACATTTATTGTTTATAACTAATTATTATTTTCAATTACAGTATAGTAGATAGGAATGGAGTTTGGAGTGGGCAATGTGGCCCAAATATCAGCAGAACTTGCTCAAGTAGTAGAGGTGATGATGTCACCAAATGTTCCACAAGAACAACGTTTAGAAGTATATAATGCTTGTGAACGTTTCAAGGAATCATCTCCTCTATGTGCACAATGTGGATTATACTTAGCACAAAAAGCTCCAAATAGAAGTTCAGTAGTTCGACACTTTGGATTACAGCTTATGGAACATTGTATCAAATATAGATGGACACAAATATCTCAATCAGAAAAAATATTTATAAAGGAAAGTGCAATGAAATTGCTTCAAGAAGGCACAGAACCATTATTGCAAGAAGAAGCTCATATTAAAGATGCACTTTCACGTGTTGTAGTAGAAATGATAAAGAGGGAATGGCCACAACAATGGCCTACATTGCTTGCTGAACTTAGTCAAACTTGTACAAGGGGTGAAAGTCAAACTGAGTTGGTTCTTTTAGTATTTCTAAGACTTGTAGAGGATGTTGCACTTTTGCAAACATTAGAATCTAATCAGAGAAGAAAGGATATATATCAAGCACTTAATACAAATATGGCTGAAATTTTTAGTTTTTTTTTAAGATTAATGGAACAACATTTTTCAGAATTTCAAAAGAAAAATAGTTTAGGTTGTACTTCTGAAGCTGCAGCACATAGCAAAGTTGTACAAGTAAATATGTTATAAAATTTATATTTTGATAATTATTTTCTATAATTATATTTTTAAAATTAAATCATTTTTTCATAATAGGTAGTATTATCCACATTAACTGGATTTGTAGAGTGGATTTCAATTAATCATGTTATGGCAGAAGATGGTAGATTATTACAAATATTATGTCTTCTATTGGGGGATCCAATATTTCAATGCTCAGCAGCTGAATGTTTATTACAAATAGTAAATCGTAAAGGAAAAGCTGAAGACAGGAAACAATTAATGATTTTATTTTCTGAAGATGCTTTGAGATATATTTATACAGCAGCAACTGCAGCATCACCTGTTACTGGAACAAATGAATTTCATGAAAATCATTATTTGTTTTTAAAAAAATTGACACAGGTAAATTTTAATTTCTCATAAAATATATTATTAATATTATATAATATATAATATAATATATTAAAATATTATTAATTGCTTATAATAATAATATATAATAATAATAAATATATAATAATAATAATATAATAAATAATAATTTTTAATTAAGGTGTTAACTGGAATGGCAACTCAATTATGTACACTTTGGGGTAAAGATGATAGCTCGAATATTCGGCCAGCACATTTCAATATATTTCTAGATACTGTATTGACATTTACTATGTATTCAAGTTTAACATTAACACATATGGCAAATGCAATTTGGGTAATGCTATTTAAGCACGAACAGATAAAACAAGATCCATTGTTATTAACTTACATACCAAAATATGTAGAAAGTACAGCACCAAAGCTAATAAAAATAGCATATCCACAAGGTAGACAAGCTAATGGAATGAGCGCATACTGTCTTGCGGATTATGATTCGGTGGAGGAATTCAATGTTTTTCTCCATCGATTTCGAACTGATTTGTTGGAAGGATTTCGTCAAGCAACAATGGTAGCGCCTTTAGTAACATTTACTTATGTACAACAATGGTTAACAGCTAAAATTACAAAAGGAATGACAGATCTTCGATATCAAAGTGATCAAAATGATCTACAATATCTTGAATGGGAAGCACTTGCACAAGCTTTAGATTCTGTTGTATCAAGAATTCTTTTGATTAACGAACGACCAAGTGTTCAAACTGGTCTTCAATTGTTAGAATTGTGCCTTGGTTATTCTCCTCAAGATCCTTGGTTATTATCTGCACTACTTTCTTGTATCAGTGCTCTTTTTGTATTCTTATCTATGTCAACTGGTTCAATGGCTATGCCAGGAGTAGCTATTCTACCTAGAGTTCTGGAAAAAATCTTTGCTGCTCTCGTATTTGAAGCACCTGGTGAAACGAAGGGTACTCGATCTAAAGCAGCAAAGAATGTAAGGCGGCATGCTGCTAGTCTCATGGTTAAAATTAGTCTGAAATATCCATTATTACTGCTTCCAGTTTTCGAGCAAATACATACAATGGTTCGAGGTTTAGCAAGAGAACCTAGCCCTTTATCTAAAATGGAAACTACATTATTATATGAAGCATTACTGTTGATATCGAATCATTTCTGTGATTATGAGAGACAAACTAGATTCGTTGCTGAAATAATTGGTGATGCATCAGCAAAGTTCATTGCTCTTGGATCTGAATCGTTTAAAGGACCACTCGAATTTATGAGATTTATAGGATTAGATCGACCACCAGTTGAAAATATTACAGAAGATCCGGCAGGTCAAAATCGAAGTGACTTAATGATTTGTATTTGTACGATATTATGTGTTGTAAAACGGTGCTCTATCCCCGATGATCCAGATCGTGCTGCAAGAGGCAGTTTTGTAGCTGCACTTAGCGAAAGTGGAAATCCAGTATATAGAAATCCTGCTACACCACATGTAATTCCTATATTGCCCACACTTTTTGCATTACTTAGAACAATGAATGCTTTATTCACATCTGCTGCTTTAGCAGCTTTATCAGAGGTAATACAAATATTAATAATCTGTTTTTTCTTTTTTTAATGATTAATTGTACAGAGAAATATATTAACATTTTCTTTTATTAGGGATATAAAAATGCTCATGAATTATTAGAAGCAGAAAAAGCAAATCTATTGGGTTTAAATACAACAAATGATAATGAACGCGCTTCTGAACCTGATCAGTCTTCAGTTACAGCTTTAGTCCGAATGCAATCATTTCTTAATACTATAAATGATTTATGCTATCATATGTTAGGTAGTGGATGTCACATGATTGGAAGAGATTTCTATCAGTTACCTGGTTTAGCACCAGCACTTATCAATTCAGTTTTTTCTAATATGGAGGTAATTTTTTTAAATTCTTTTTTTCTTAAGTAACAATAGCAACATAATAAACTTTCCTATTTTAATGATAATTTGTTTTTTTTTTTTTTGTTTTAGATGATTCCAGATTATAGATTGCGACCAATTATACGCGTATTCATGAAACCATTTATATATTCTTGTCCACCTGCATTTTACGAAAGTGTTCTTGTACCCGTTTTGGCTCATGTTTCTACACATAGTAAGATATTTTTATTTTCTTATTATTTTACTTATTATATTTGTTTTTTATTTATATTTATTATATTTATATTATATTTATCATATTTTTTAATAGTGTGCCAAAGATTGAGTGCAAAATGGCAATATATCGCACATCTTTATGAATCTGGTGGTTTAGATGAAGAAAATACTGATACACAAGAAGTTATTGCTGATATGTTAAATCGAAATTTGACAAGAGATTTTGTAGATGTATTGAAAGTAGCTCTCGTTGGCGGTGCTGCTAGTGATGCAACGCCTCCTGATACTATGGAACAAGATAGTAGTGGTATGGCCATAGATTTTCCTTTATCACGTGGAAATAGTATAGTTGCTGAAGTTGTTAGTGAGTTGGGAGCTGTAGTTCTTCGTCATCCGACTACGTGCCATAGTGTTGTTTTATGTGTTTTAGGGTAATTCAAATATAATTATTTGATATTATAATAGTTTTATTTGATATTCATTTTGCAGAAATAATTTTAATTTTTTACTATTTCTAGAGCTTTAGCTTGGAATGACTCAAATGCCAGTTTAAAAGCTACAATGTTAACCGGACCAGTTGTACGAGCATTAGCAGCTGATGGCAGTTTAACACCTGATATGGCTGCTCATATTATGGTAGCAATTCTTCAAGGTTTGCAACTTCATGGACAACATGATGCCAATCAAGGTTCTCTTATAACTTTGGGTGCACAAGTTTATGAATGTCTACGACCTAAATTCCCTAATATTATTGAAGTAATGCAGCAAATTCCGGGCGTAAATCTTACGGATTTACAACGTTTCGATGAAAAAATGGCTGTAGTTAGTACTAAAGGAAATAAAGTTGAAAAAGGAAAAAAAGATCTTTTTAAGAAAATTACAAATCAGGTAAAATTTTACATATTTAAAATAGAAAGAATACATTAAAGAATATGAAGATAAAGAATGTTATTTACGAATATATTATATATATCTATTACAGCTTATTGGTCGAAGTGTTGGTCAATTATTTCGTAAAGAAGTCAAAATAGACAATTTACCACGAATAGAAGTTTTTGGAAAGCAACAAGCGATACGTGTGGATGAAGTATCCGAGAATTCAACTGATAGCGGATTTGCAGCTTTATTTGCAGGACCCACGTAGCAAAAACTCCATTTACATGACCACTCTGCATACATATGGTCTGAATTAATAAATTGTAATAAATCATCGTGAAAACATTTTCCTACAACAAAAGATTGAACTATATACATAATGGGATCCTGCAATTGAAATAAGAAGATAAGAATAGAGTAAGCTCATATTAAGATGTTTCATCTTTAAATTATTCATAAAATTGAACGCGTATATACACAGTTTGGTAATACAATTTATACTTAACTACTTTATTTATATATCAAATAATGAATAAAGTTAAAAGAAAATACGCTTACACACGCGTTCAGGATCGATTATGAATAGTTTATAAGACAAAAAAATTTAATATCTAATTTTATTTGAAAAAATCTCTTATTTTTAATTCAGGACTTCAATACGCAAAAAAGTTAGTATTTCTTGAATATTCAGGGTGTGTAGTAATGCATGCGTGCGTATGTATGTATGTATGTATGTATTGTATGCGTGATACGTATTCATACGTATATGTAACATAAAATATTTGTCGTTAAAGAAGAGCATGCAGTACATATGATGAGACAAATATGAAGCAAATCTAAGTAGATTATTGAATAATTGTATATTAAGTCTTATGCATTTATTACTATTTCTTTGGATTTACATAAAATCTTTTGTAACAATGTAAAACAACATGATTTTCAACGCGATGTGTAATACAGTTTTTGTAAACAATATTTCGCTAATGTATAATATAAAGATTGTTGATTTATATAAAACAATTTTACGATTTGGTACAAATATTGTATTCGAATTGATTATAATTGTTTTTAATCAAGAGAAAAATGTGTCCATTTCTCAGCACTTTTTAAAAATATTGTTTCATATTGTATGTTTCATATGAATTTAGTTGTAAAGTTTTATTTGGGCATTTCGAAAACATATAAAATAATTTTTTTTAAATATTTAATATTAAATATGTTTGGGCCATATTATTCCCATTAAATGCAATTTTTGTTTATCATTTAAAATTTACAAAAATTCAAATTAAATAGCATTTTAGATACTTATATGTAAATCAAACGTAATATTTCTATGTTTTGTTGTTACTTCTTTTTAATTATTTTATTTTATTATTGTGAATAATGTAGCACATTGTAACTATCACATAAAAATGAATTAGTACTTTACACAATTGCCATTATATATCAAATAGCGACAATACTTTACATGAAATTGTAGATATTAATAATCATTTAATACATGACAATCATCATGGATTTAAAAATAATGTAGCACAGAATTTGTATGTAGTATTACATGATAGAAACTGTGCTATTTAAAAAATTTATTACACTAGGTATAGAAAAAATTTAAATAATACCAGTGTCTTTTATTAATTGTATTTAAATGATAATTCAAATACTAAAATTTAATATTAAATTATATCATGTTATATATACAATCAATTTGCCTATCATATTAACATCACATGTGTTCTAAAATAAAATTCATAAAGAACTATATTTTGCAACAAAATACTATCGAGATTACCATAATAAAGTACAAGTTTTTAATAAACTTCAAATTTTATTACTAGTTAAACTAGTTACGCGTTAGAGTTTAACAATTTTTATTTAAAATACGCGACAATATGCACATTAAGATAATATTGAAATTAAAATACTTTTCCTATCAATATTTTTTTTATTTGCTTATACTTGTAACTATATTCCAAGAAGATTTCAAAATCTATTGATATATTTCAACATAAGTACGAATAAGACAATGTCAAAGTTCAAAACATATTTTGTATGTATGTATGTATGCGTTTATAAAAATGAATATTAAATGATTTTCATGTATTGAACTTCTAAAAATTGTCTAAAGTACAATTGCAGTAAAATGCCAAAAAATATTTCATTATTTTTATATCATCTTATATAGCTTTTTATCGATATTTTTAAAAAATGAAAATAAAACAGAATATTAGATTAAAAAAATAACGGAATGCTAATTTATAAACTACAATTTTATTATTAATAAAATTGATAATCCATGCAATAAATCCTAAAACAATGTTAAAATATGATATATCAATAAATTTATTTCTTTTGTATCTAACTAAAATAGAGTACAAGTTTTGCATGGAATTATTGAGTACTAAATTTTCGAGAATTATAGTAACTTTAAAACAAAATTCTTACATGTACTATCGTGCGAAAAATTAATGAGAAACAATATTGAATAATTATTCTTAATTAGAATAAGTATAAAAACTTCACCATAATTTTTCGACCAAAGTCTTAAAAAAATTTTTGAAACTTGACATTTTATTATAATATTATTTAGTATTTCACAAATAATTTCATGTATTTTCATATTTAAATTGTAATATAAATAAATTTGATTAATTACTCATGATATGAAATGAAATAAGCCATATAATCTCATATAAATCGATAGAATTAATAAAACATTAGAAAGCTTTTTATACTTTGAAATAATTAATAATTGTCTAATATATAAGTCGCATATTTTATACTAGGAACTGTTGACGACGACCGAACTTGGTCATTTTATATATTTATCTTATCCGTTCATTCGCATCGTTCATACGTTCGTTCATTCAGCACACAAACAATGAAGATGCGTATTATATTTGTCTCGATAGATTTTTCGCAAGAATTATTAAGAAAAAATTTGATTTCTTCAAATTGATTTGATTTTGTACTTTTTAAACGATAGATTTTGATAGGTCTCACACACATCTGATGTTCTTAAATTACGTAAAAAAATACAGTTAATTGTTTTGTTAAGAATAAATATCTTTAATGAGCGAGCAATTAAAGAATTAAGGTACGTTTTTATCGTGTATAACGTTGATGACACATTATATCATAAATTTGTATAATTCTTAACGAGATCGCTAGAAATCTGATCCCAAAAAGATCATATGCTTGATATAAGTGTAACGTGCAAATGATTAATTTTAATTTTATAAAGAATCAACATCACTATTAGAGACCTGAAAATGTTTAAGTGTTCGTTGTTATATTAATATCGTCTTTTTTCCCTATTAATAAAAATACATCCATATTATCTTTTCCCTTAACATAAACTTGACCACGTGGTTCGAATTCGTATCGTTCTGAAAGAACATCTAAAACGTTCTTGGCCACTTGTATTCTTCCAGCGACTCCAGTCGAATCCATTCTAGATGCTATATTTACAGCATCACCCCAGATATCATAATATAACTTCGTTGCTCCGATTACACCAGCAGTTACGTCGCCATAATTAAAACCAATTCTCAAAATTAATTTAAAACCTAATAAATCTCGATTGAAATCATTTATTACTTTATGCAATGTCATAGCAAAATCTATTAATTGGAACAGATGCTTATATTCATGTTCATTTTGTTGTCTAACTTGTGGATTTAAACCACTTGCTGCCATGAATGTGCTACCAATAGTTTTTATCTTTTCTACATTTGAAAATTCCGGTTTTTCTAATAATTCGTCAAAATCACCAATGAGTTCATTAAGCACACGCAAATATTCTTTACCACCCAAATAAGACTCATCATAAAGTTCGTTAAAGTTTACTATGCTTGCAAAAATAATTCCCACAGCTTTATGATTTTGTGAATATTTAGCAGTGGTTTTTAATTGATCAGCAACATATTTTGGTATAATGTTATGTAAAAGCCAATCGGCTTGATTTTTCATAGATTGTACACGACTTTTATCTCGAGCAGCTACTGCATTTCCGTGAAAGCTTAATCGATAACTAATTTCAAATTCACGATTTAAAAACCAAACTAACAAAAGTAAAAGTATCATATCTAAAAAAATCTCGGAATTATATAATCTTTCATGATATCTAATTTCTGTCTCTTGTTGACTTAGAGCAATCTTCGTTGTAGAATTTAATAAGAAATCAGGAATATTGAATATTTTCTTTATAATGGTTTCATTAGATTGATTCCTGATTAAATCAGTGATATTTTTATTTATTGGGAATTGTGAATAATTTAATGTCTTATTAATGAATAAATTACCGAGATTTTCTTGATTATATGACAGATGATTCATTACAAAATAAAGAAATAATACACCCATAAATGTTACTAAAAAGTTCTTCATCCAACAATTAAGTTGTGTAAAATTACAAAAATGAACTAAACTAATAAAAATCAAATAACCATAATAGTATTCAAAATTATTCAAATTATGAAAATTACTACACGTATAATTAAGAAAAATAGATATAATCGGTAAGCCGACTAAAATTGCACCGCAAATATGCCAAGGATACCATTGTGAAAAAAATTTAAATATTTGTTGTGTTAATGTTGAGTGAACCATATTTGGATATAAGAGTTGACGAACACAAAGTAACACTGCTATAATTTGAATGGTAGTAGCACATACAAAAAAGATCATATAATATAATGTTGGATTGCAAGTAAAAAGAGTGAAATTGTGATGGCAGTGTAAATCAATGCCGATATCAGAATATCAAAATATGTATTGAATCTCGAGGTAGCCAGAGTAGGTGGATTTCCACTGATACATTCATTAACCTTGTGAGCATTTTCTCTGTATTCTTTTTCCATTTCTTATTTTTGAAAAAGAGAGTCAAACTCGAAAGTGGTGGTTTCACGAAGTATGATCGTTGAGAACTTACATTATCTTGAACGCACCTTCGTGAAAAATAAAATTATACGAACTATTTTATATTTTTTAAAATATGTAAATTAAAAGTTATTTACCTAATTAATTGTAGATCAGATTGTTTTCTTAATTTATGAAAACATGCACCAAAAGTATCTGTAACTGCTGGAGGAAATGGATATGGTGGTACCGAAGACGATGGCTCATGAGCAGAATTTAATGTCGAACTAGAAGTATAATATCCACTTACTCTATGTGCCAATAAATCTCCTTGAGCCATGCCGTTCATCAAAAATAACTAAAATATGAAAATTAACTGCAGGAAAAAGGGAACATGTTGACTGCTGTGAGAAGTATAGTATTAAAAAATATTTTTATATAATTTCTATTATTATTATTTCTATTATAATATAAGTATACCTGTTGCTGTATACTACTACGTCTGCTATTACTTCTAATTCCCGAATCTTTCCTACTGCACATAGAAGAGGCACGACTAAGTGACTCTTGACCAGATAATAAAGGACTAGAAGGTATAGGATTTGGATCCATTTCAATCTCATTTTGAGATGTATTCTGCAAAAAAATACAACTTATATATGAATGAGATAATGCAATTGAAAATTAAAATAAAAACTTTTATCGATGCGATTTTGACCTGCCTAAATCCATTACGATCTTCATATGATTGAGATTCAGTTTTTGATTGTTCGGCAATAATTGCTTTGGCTTCTTCCATTTCTAGAGGTGTCATTTCTTCAGTAGTTCGTTGTCGTTGTAAATATTTCCATGGTTTGTTTCGTATCTTTTTCTTTCCATAACTGGCAACAGATATCGGACTTTTATTTGCATTTTCTTTTTCATCTGTGATATCAGTATCTCCGTTTTCGGAATCTAGAATACTTGGCAAAGAGTTTGCTTTCATTCTATAATTACTTGTATTAGTAACCATATGGAGGTAATGATATTTCAATTTAGATTGACTATTACAAGAGGCCACGCGGTGACGCGATTGCATCAAAGGCGATATACTTGTCGGAGATGTTATATTCATTATAAATTGGTTGGTAAAATCTGATTTTCGACCTTTAATAAAATAAGTTTTAATACCTGTAATATAAAATACTTTTCTTTTAATTATAATTATAAAATTAATGAAATATAAATTATATATATGTTAATATTATAATTATTAATATTATAACTATTAATATTATAATAATAATGTTAATACCATTTATTAAATCTCCTTCTTCTGTAAGATATCGATCATTGAGAAAACTCAGAGTCTTTTCACTTAGATGAACTCTTCCTGGTTTTCCAGTGCTTTCTAGTTTATTTGCTAAAGTTACATCATTCGACCAAACATCGAATTTAAATCTTTTAGTACCTACAATTCCACATAATACAGTTCCAGTATGTACTCCAACTCTCATATTAACACCTTCTCTTCTTTCAATATCAAATTGTTTTATAGCTTCTATCATAGCTATCAAAGTATATTATAAATTATTTTTTTATGTAAATATTTCACTTCTATAATTTAATGAAGAAAAAAAAATATACCTAATCCCATTTCAATACAACATTTTGCATGATCAGATCTTGGTTCTGGACATCCACTTACACAATAATAACAATCTCCCAATGTAGAAATTTTTTCACACCCATGGTGTTCACATAAATCATCGAATCTTTCAAAAAGATCATTTAAAATACCTACTAATTCTTCTGCAGTCTTATTTGAACTCATTCGCGTAAATCCAACAATATCAGCAAATAAAATACTAACATTTTCCATTGAATGCATATTAAATGGTCGAAACAATGAGCGAATATCTGTATTATTGGACGGTATCGAACCTTTTTTTAAAGAATCCTCTCGTTCTCTTTCGCATTCTCTTTCTTCCATTAACCAATCTGCGACTTTAGGCGGCATTACTGAATGAATCATTTTTTCTTTAAGTTGTTTTTCCATTTC